ACAAAATCAAGCAAATACAAAACAGGTTGAGCAGAATAACTAAAGACAGATAAATGTGGTCAGATTGTCCTCCAGCAGTCTAAGCTTATAGCAGCACAACTAAGGGATAACTCAGGAAACCCAAGCCTAACCTAACTATAGGATTTATCAAAAAGGAAAGTCTTAAACCCAGTCTTAAAACTGGACAATGTGTCAGCCTCATGGACAGAAACTGGAAGTTTGTTCTACAAGAGCCTGAAAACTGAAAGCTCTACATCCCATTCTGCTTTTGGAAACTGCAAGTAAGCCTGCAGTCTGTGAGTAAAGTGCTCTGATAGGAAAATATGGAACAATATAATAAGACTGAGCTAAGTTGTTGAGAGCTTTGTATGTTAGAAGTAAGATTTTGAATCCTATTCTGAGTTTGACAGGGAGCCAATGGAGAGAAGCTAAAACAGGAGAAATGTGATCGCTCCTATCAACTTTCATTAAAACTCTGGCGGCAGCATTTTGGATCAGCTGAATACCTTTTAAATAAGTTTGTGGACACCCAGATAATAAATCATACCATACCCTTTTATTTGTAGAGCACTTAAAACAGCGACAAGGCCAATCAAAGTATTGTACACAGAAAAACAGGTGACACACAAAGCAACATACAAAATTAAGTAAATCAGAACACAGACATAAAAACGATGCAGATAATAAATATGACAATAAAGCAGTGTGGAGCGTACACGTTCAAAACACAGATCCACTTGTGTTGAAAGCTACTGAATAGTAGTGTGTTTTTAAATGGGATTTGAAAACCGAGAGGGAGGGGGATTGTCTGACAAGCAGAGGTAACTCGTTCCAAAGTCTTGGTCCTGCTACAGAGAAAGCCCTGTCACCTGTGCACTTAAGACGAGTTCCTGGAACTCAGGAGCAACTGGTCCGCTGACCTCAGGGAACGTGGTGGGACATATGGCTGTAGCAAATCAGAGAGATAGTGGGGTGGGCAAAACTTTTCAGCGATTTGTAGACATACAGGAGTATTTTGAACTGGATTCGAAGGTGAACCTTTAGCCAGTGCAGGGAGGCCAAAACTGGTGTAATGTGTTCTGTTTTGCCTGTACTGGTTAAAAATCAGGCTGCTGCATTCTGGACCAGTTGTAGTCGTGCAATAGAAGTCTGACTGATACCAAACGAATAAATTGCAGTATTCAAGCCTAGATGTAATGAATGCATGTATTACTGACTCCAGGTTCTTTTTGGACAATATGGGCTTCAGTTTAGACAGTCGCCTCAGTTGGAAGAAACATGATTTAACAATCATGTTTACATGACTGTTAAGTTTCATGGAAGGGTCCGTTATCACTCCCAGATTAGTGACTCTGTTTTTCTGACATATATATATATATAATATATTGATATAGTGGTTTGTGATTGTGTCGTTGGGAGGGAACAGCATGACTTCAGACTTCTTTTCATTGAAACTTAAGAAATTTAAAGCCATCCAGTCCCTAATGTCAGCCAGGCAGTTGAGCAGAGTTTGAATAGAGCATGTACCATTGTATCTTAGAGGGAAGTAAATTTGACAGTCATCAGTGTAGAAGTGAAAGGGTATGTTGCGTTTCAGGAAAATAGCACCAAGTGGCAGTAGGTATAAAGAGAATAGGGGGGAACCCAGGATGGAACCCTGCGGAACCCCCCATTTAAGCTCTGCCAATGCAGAACTAAAATCATTGATGGAGACACAAAAGGATCTGTCAACGAGATAGGCTCTGAACCAATTGAGGGCTGACCCTATGATGCCCACCCACTGCTCTAACCTAGCAATGAGGATCTCATGGTCAATAGTGTCAAAGGCGGCTGTGAGGTCCAATAAGACAAGCAACACAGAATCACCAGTATCTATGGATAAGAAAATGTCATTAAAAACCTTCAGAAGGGCAGTTTCAGTGCTATGGAGAGGTTTAAAGCCAGATTGGAATATCTCTAGGATAGCGTGATTCTCCAGGAAGCACTTCAACTGGGACTCAACTATTTTCTCCAGTAATTTAGAAACAAATGGGAGTCTGGAGACAGGCCGAAAGTTGGATACGACTGAGGGGTCAAGGTTTTTTGGGGTTTTTTTCAGGAGAGGCTGGACAGTAGCATGTTCAAACAATTGCAATAGTTCAACCTAAATGTGATAAATACATGGACCAGTTTTTCGGCTCATTTTTGGACAAGATGTTTCCAATCTTAGTGATATTATGCATGGTGGAGGAAAGCGGTTTTGGTAGTATTTTTGTAATATGGTGGTTAAAAGACATATCCTGATCAAAAATAACACCAAAGTTTTTAATTTTAGAACTGTAAGCCAAATAAATGTAATCCAGATAAAGTGAAAGACTTCAAAATGTATACCTAAGAAGCTCAGGTAAAAAAAAAAAACTCTGTCTTGTCTGAATTTAAAGCAAAACATTTAGGGTCATCCACATTTTTATGTCTTTAAGACGTGATTGTAATTTAGGTAACCGATTGGATTCATCATGTTTCATGGACAAATATAACTGAGTATCATCAGCATAACAATGAAAATTTATCCCATGCTGTTTAATAACTTTACTTAATGGAAGCATATATAACGTAAAGAGTATTGGTCCAAGCACTGAACCCTGAGGAACTCCATGACTAACTTTGGTGAATGAAGGAAATTCATTATTTATAATTAAAGAATTATAAAGAATCTCGTGAAGTCATCACTACTTATATCCAACATTTTTCAGTCAGGTCATCTGGACAGTTTATTTTTATTTTTTTAAGCACCAAAATAACTGGTTTATTCCACTTTGGAGTAAGCTGTTGGGGGAAGAATCAGTTTTGTGTTGTCTGTTTCCTTGACTGATGAAGCCTTCCAGATCGAAGGCGAAATATTTCAGCACAAAAAAAAAAAAGAAACTGTCCTGATGACCTGACTGAAAAATGTTGGATTGTATACCTGGATTATTGAGCATGGACTTTGTTATCACTACTTATAGTTGAAGGGATACATGAATCAACAGAAATGGGACTTTCCACTAGTCTGGCCATAGTACTGAACAGAAATCTATGGTTATTTTTATTCTCATCAATGAAAGATGAATAATATATAGTTCTAGCATTATGGAGTGCTTTCTTATATGTTAGCAGACTATCTCTGCAAGTTAAATAAAATTATTGCATGTTAGTGTCGCGCCATTTTTTTTCCAGCTTTCTAAATGTCTATTTTAAACTAAGTAACTTAGAATTGAACCAAGGAGCCAGTCTCCTCTGATTGATTACTTTCTTTTTCAGCGGAGCAGTTTTGTCAACTGAACTCTCTAAATGTATCAACCAAATGATCTAAGTCACTGTTCTCTGATGCATTACTCTGCAAGGCAGAGGAAAACGTTGATGTAAGAGATTGTTTCAATTGGCTTACAGCATTTTCTGATAAACACCTGCTAAAGTAACATTTACTCTCAGTGGCTGTGTAGTTGTTAAATGTAAACTCAAATGTTATTAAAAACTGGTCAGACAGAACCGGATTTTGGTGACGTTTTAAAAAGTACTTGTAAATCCAATGTCATTTTTAAAAATTCCAACAAAATGGACATTTTCATATTGAGAATTACTTATTTTTGCCATGCAAATTTATGCTGCACACATCTTTATTTATCATTATTTATTTATCTGAATGCAATGCAACAACAACGAACAAATGTAATCTTCAGACATGGGAAACAAGGCCATAAGAATGTTTTTCATTTGTTTACAAGCTCTCTTATTGTATACTGATGTAATCTAAAAACTTGAGTGAGGATTTTTAAACCTTTGTGGGTTTTATGGACACAATTATTTCCCTTTCTGTGGTCTTACAACGTTGGCTTTTTCACTATTTTGATTTTGTTCTAGAAATGTTTTATATAACATTCAAATAAAAAAAAAAAATCACTCTTATTTAGTTAAGAGCTTTAAATACAGACATACAATTATAAGCATGGACATATGTTGATAACACTCGTTAATTGTAGATGTTTTTTTATTTTACTTTATGATTTTTTTTTTCTTTTATGTAAGTAGAGAGTCATTCAGTGACCTTTGAAAAACTCAGGTATTATTTATTTGTTGATTTTGTTTTATTTCACTTTATTTTATTTTAACTATTTGAAACAAACCATAACTTAATGTAGTAAATTTCCAACACTCAAAAAAGTAATAGCACAAGTGCATTTAAATACTTTTACATTGCATGGTGACAAATTCATCAGTTCAATTTGACTGATGCCGTAAACAGAAATACTGTAACCCCTTCACAGTGTGTGGCAGCTGTCAAAGCATTAAATTATAGAAGTTGGTGCTGGAAAAACAAGATAATTGAGTTACACATTTATCATCAATATGAGGTTCTAAATAAATACATCTGCAAAGCTTTAATTTTATTGAATGCATATGTCTCATTTTGCTTTTTTTTGGGGGGGGGGGGGGGGGGAGCAAACAATTAAAACAGCCTACTCCAAAATCAAACCATTTTTTTACAGACAGTAGCATATCACAAGAATCAATAATGTTTTTTTGACATGTTCAGTTACAGTATATGACTAGAATTGTGTAGTAAGATATAGTTTCTGCAAGAAAACTATTAAATCTGAGCTGACCCTGGTTGCAGCAGCCCCACCTGCTGCACCCTTCCCCGTCACACTACCTCGCCACACATTTGTCATTTAGGAATGTTAAGAGACTGCAGAGAGAGTTGAGCATGAAATAAGTTTGAGAAGAAGGGCTCATGAGGGCGCAGAAACAGAGGAGGGGTGAGGCAGAGTTGGAGCCGTCAGTCCCATCTGTCATCTCTCAGTATAGCCTGAAGTGAGGAGCTGGAGCTGAATGATGATCAATGATTATTCTGTGTGCCCTTTAAAGAGACGGCTCTTGGTGGAGCAGCGCTCTGCTGCGCCAGAGGACAGGGGGTGGGAGTCTGGGTGAAGGGAAAACTTCTGGTGTACTCTTCTGAAAGGCTTTTGTAATTCTGTCCACAGTTAAATTATGCTGAGTCTAGGCTGACCCAGCTGGAGGGCTGTCACTGTGAGAGGACCTGCAACGTCAATGGCCTCGTGTACCGAGACAAAGAGCTGTGGGTGGAGCCCAAAAACTGCAGGAACTGTGCATGTAAGGTGAGTGTAAACGTTTTACTCACAACTATAGAGAGACACATGCATGTATATATGATGTGTGTGAGCATGTATATGGAACTCAGACTGTTTCAGAGGGCCAGACCAATGAACCATCCATCTACTGTATTATCTGTACACGTGTCTTCTTTTCTGGGTCATGGGGGTGGCTGGTGCCCATGTCCAGCCATCATTGTGCGAGAGGCAAGGGACACCCTGGAAAGATCGCAGCTAGTCCACCGCCTGCCTTCTCAGAACCAGATGGCGGGCGGTGAAGTTCATGCGCAATAATCCTGGAACATAATCCAACAATGGATTATTGAGTTTGGACTTTGTTGTTATAATCCAACAATGTTCAGTCAGGTCATCTAGACATTTTCTTTTTTACTTTACATTTTTTACTTTTTATGTTGGTGCTTTGAACCACTTTGGCATGACTGTCTCAGAGGAGTTGACTGGAGAGAGGGCGAGCCCCGGAGGCCATATTAACACCAGCAAACTTTTTTTTCCCCACTATGGAACATGCTGTTGTTGTGGGAAGCAGTTAGTTTGGTGGCTCCTCAGATCGAAGAAGTCCTTTGGATGAAGGACAAAACATCTCAGCTTAAAAAAGAAACTGTCCAGATGACCTGAAAGAACATTGTTGGAGAACTTAAACTTCACCACTGATTTCAGTAAACCATTGAAAGTCCAAATCTGGCTAAAACCACAACATTCTATGTCAGTTTTTTTTTTTTTTCTTTACTGATGTCCCAGCAATTATACCTTACAAAATGGTTTTGGATTCTACCAAAATAGTTTTTTCTTTAAGTTTCTATAATAACGATAGCATGGTGGTGCAACTGGTAGAGCTGCTGCCCCTCAGCGAGCAGGTAGCCATGGTACAAATCCTGGTCTGGGTACCTTTCTGGGTGGAGTTTGAATGTTCTCTACTTGCATGTGTGGGTTTTCTCTGGGTACTCTGGTTTCCTCCCACAGACCAAAAACGTATGTTGAAATTGTCCTAGGTGTGAGTGAGAGCGTGAATGAATGGTTGTTTGTCTCGTTTGTCTCTATGTGTCCCTGAGATGGACTTGCAACATGTCCAGGGTGTACCCGACCTCTTGTACTGTGATGGCTGGACGTGGGCACCAGTGACCCCCACGACCCAAGAAGGAAGATGTGGGTAAAAGATAATGGATGGATGGATTGTATAATATTGAACAGCCTAGTTGGCAGAAAGTGGGTACACATTAAAAAGGCAACAACAACACTGATGACTAAATAACCTTTAGAGCAGTTTCAGTATCAGACATTGATGACATCTAATGTTGTGGCAGCATCTGATGGTGGATCTGTTTGCTGTAATGGATAAACAACACAACCCATATCTTTCTAGATGCTTACTATTTGCCTTCATTGCTCCTCACATTTAACTTTTTATTTTTACTCTTCATATCTCCAGCCCACCCCACTTAATAGGTGCCCTTTAATAAGCTTCCTTGCCTGCCTGTCTGTATGGACTCATACATAGGGGCAAGACTTAAAATGTGTTGAATCAGACCCTTACGAGCCCTGTGGAATTTGACTTGCTGCATCATTGCACATCGAGCACAGGAAGAGTTGAGTCAGTCTGGTTCCTTCCACTGACATACCATTAACTGATAACCGTAACATCCTTCGAGAATCATTTCTGATGACTCATGAAATGGAGGCACTCGCAGGGAGATATATCAGCCTCACAAATGAAGGCAAGTCTTGAGGGCAAGAATAACTATCTGATATCAACAAGCTATGCAGTCAGGCTACCAGTGTCACAGACTAATTATGTGAATGCTTATTAAGCATTCACACTACTGTGATCCATTTTTCTTCTGTACGATTTTCGGCATCTTTCTCTTTCCACAATTCCTGTGCTATTTCAAGATTTGTTTTATTAGCATGTTCTGATTTTCTAATTGATTTAAGATAAATTCTATTTTTGTGGTAATTTCTTCAAATTTCAACCAAATTAACTTATTTCTGATAATCTAAGCTTGTTATGCTCCTTTTAGCTTGAATATGCTAGTTTCAGCTTTTTCCTGCAGTTTCAACTACTATTTAGATGTCTTATGCTAATTTTCAGCCTTTATTAGCTAATTTCCAAATTTTTTGTGCTAATTTCTGCTTTTTTAAACCTATTTCACCAAATGTGTGCTCTTTCTGTTTTTTTTTTTTTTTGTTGTTGTTGCTATTTTAGGCTTATTCATCCATTTCAGCTACATTTCAGCATTACTTTAAGCTAATTTCAGATGTTTCTCAGCATGTTCTTCTGTAATAAGCATTCACACTGCATTTTCACAGGAAATTCAATTTCTCTAGTTAGTTTTCTTTTATTGCTAAATACAATACATTTATGTCAAACTAGTTGAAAACAACAAAGTCCATGCTCAATAATCCAGGTATACAATCCAACATTTTTCAGTCAGGTCATCTGGACAGTTTCTTTTTTTTGTGTTGAAACATTTCGCTTTCGGTCCGGAAGGCTTCATCAGTCAAGGAAACACACAACAAAACTGATTCTTCCCATGCATGATCCTCATTCCGGTCGCTTCACACTCGGCTGCAAACCACTCCAGGGAAAGCTGTAGATCACGACCTGATGAAGCCAATAGGACCACATCATCTGCAAAAAGCAGAGACGTGATCCTAAGGCCACCAAAACGGATCCCATCAACATCTTGGCTGCACCTAGGAATTATGTCCATAAAAAATATGAATAGATTCAGTGACAAATGGCAACCTTGGTGGAGACCAACTGTCAGTGGGAACAAGCCAGACTGACTGCCGGCAATGCGAGCCAATCTCTGACACCTGTCATACAGGGACCTAACATCCCGTATCAAAGGGCCTGGTACTCCACACTCCTGGAGTACCCCCCACAGGGTTCCCAGAGGGATGTGGTCGGACACCTTCTCCAAGTCCACAAAGCACATGTAGAATGGTTGAGCAAACTCCCACGCACCCTCCACAATCCTGCTGAGGGTGTAGAGCTGGTCCAGCATTCCACGACCTGGACGGAAACCACATTGCTCTTCCTGAATCCAAGGTTCCACTATCCAACATACCCTCCACTCCAGGACCCTCAAATATACCTTACAAGGGAGGCTTAAGAGTGCGATCCCCCTCTAGTTGGAACACACTCTGCGGTCCCCCTTTATGAATAGGGAGACCACCACCACCCTGGTCTGTCAATCCAGGGGAACTGCCCCAATGCCCATGCAATATTGCAGAGTCATGTAATTCAACACAACCCACAACCTCCAGAGCCTTAAGGAATTCCAGGTGAATCTCATCCATCCCCTGGACCCTGCCACCGAGGAGCTTTTTAACCACTTCGGTGACCTCAGCACAAGTGATTGGTGAACCTGACGCAAAGTCCCCAGGCTCTGGTTCTTCAATGGAAGACATGCTGGTAGGATTGAGAAGGTCTTCTAAGTACTCCGCCCACCGACACATAGCAAACCGAGTTGAGGTCAGCAGCACAGCATCCCCATTTTAAACAGTGTTGTTGGTGTACTGCTCCCCCCACTCCCCACCCCCATGATGCCAGATGGTAGACCAGAATCACTTAAAGGGCATATGTAAGTCATTCTCCAACACCTCTCTGAACTCCTCCCACGCCCGAGTTTTTGCCTTAGTAACCACCCAAACTGCATGCCGCTTGGACTGCCAGTATCCATCAGCTTCTTCTGGGATCCCACTGTCCAAAAAGGCCCATTAGAACTCCTTCTTCAGCCTGACAGTATCCCTCACCGCTGGTGTCCACCAACGGGTTTGAGGGTTATCTCTGTGAAAGGCACCAACAACCTTGTGGCCACCGATCCAATAAGCTGCCTCGACAATGGAGGCGTGGAACATGGCCCACATGGGCTCAATGTCCCCCACCTACCCTGGAACGTGTTCGAAGTTCTCACGGAGGTGGGAGTTAAAGTTCCATCTCACGGGAGACTCTGCCAGATGTTCCCAACAGGCCCTCACAATATCTTTGGGCCTGCCAGGTCTGACCGGCATCCTACTCCACCATCGGAGCCAACTCACCACCAGGTAGTGGTCAATGGACAGCTCCGCCCCTCTCTTCACCCAAGTGTCCAAGACATGTGGCCGAAGATCAGATGAACAACCAAGTCAATCATCGAACTGCAGCCTAGTGTGTCCTGGTGCCAAGAGCACGTATGGACACCCTTATGCTTGAACATGGTGTTCGTTATAGACAATCCATGATGAGCACAGAAGTACAATAACAGAACACCACTCGGGTTCAGATTGGGGGGGCGCGTTCCCCCCAACCACACCCCTTCAGATCTCACTGTCATTGCCCACATGAGTGTTGAAGTCCCCCAGCAGAACAAGGGAGTCCCCAGTAGGGGCACTCTCCAGTTCCCTCCCCCTCCAAGGTCTCCAAAAAGGGTGGGGAATCTGAACTACCATTTGGCGTATAAGCACAAACAACAGTCAGAACCCACCCCCCCCACACACACACATAGGTGGAGGGAGGCTACCCTCTCGCTCACAGGGATGAACCCTAATGTACAGGCACCAAGATGGGGGCAACAAGTTTGACCACTCCTTCTCGGTGCCTCTCATCAGGGGCACCTCCAGAGTGGAAGAGTGTCCAACCCCTCTCAAGGAAACTGGTTTCAGAGCCAGAGCTGTGCATCAAGGTGAGTCTGACTATTTCTAGCCGGAACCTCTCAACCTCACACACCAGCTCAGGCTCCTTCCCCACCAGAGAGATGACATTTCATGTCCCGAGAGCCAGCTTCTGTAGCCAAGGATCAGACCGCCAAGGTCCCTGCCTTCAGCCACCACCCATTCTACATTGCACCCAACATTTTTTGGCCCCTCCCACAGGTGGTGATCCAGTGGGAAGGGGGACCCACGTCTCCTCTTCGGGCTGTGCCCGGCCGAGCTCCATGGGTGAAAGCCTTGCCACCAGGCACTCATCAGCATGCCCCACCTCCAAGCATGGCTCCAGAGTGGGGCCCCCGGTGACCTGCCTCTGGGCGAGGGAACATTGTTTCCATTTATTGTGTTCATCATAAGGGTTTTTTGGGCTGCACTTTGTCTGCTCCCTCACCTAGGACCTGTCTGCCTTGGGTGTCCCTACTAGGGGCATGAAGCCCCTGACAGCATAGCCCCTAGGATCATTGGGACACTCAAACCTGTCTACCATGGTAAGGTGACAGCCCAGGGAGGGGTAACATATATTAAAAAATATAATTAAACTAAGTTAAATTGCAATTCTCAAATATTTTCTTCAAAACCCAAACCCAAGACAAACAAAGCCAAGCAAACCTGTGATCACACAGATCATTAGCTGTGATCACTGGAACAAAACAGGGTTGATTTGTGATTTCCAATTAGCCTATTTGCATGAACAAGTTAATGAAATGCTGTGCAAACAACAGAAATTTAACAGTATTGAAGTTTTGTGTCAGAGAAGAAACCTAATGTTGGAAAAAAAAAAAACAGCAAAAACATTGAGACTAATAACAAAAATGTGCAAATGAGAGGCAGAACAAGAAGATATAACAACATCAAAGTACCACTAAATTTCTGTCAGATTTAAATGGTATACAGCATACTCAAGAAATGGATATAGGTTTATGACTGATAAATAGGTGATGGCAATATTAAAGTAAATAAAGGCATCTAACAATTAAAAAATGTAGCTAACTAAAACAAAATGAACACTAAAAACAAGTTGAAACTTGTGAAGTTCACTCCAAGAGCAGTTGTTACAAAAAAAAAAAAAAAAAAAATCAGCTCAAGAGACTTCAGTGAGATTGATCGGTTGATCAGTGAGACTCCGTAGCAGCAATCAGGCAGTATAGAAGCAGCCATAGTACCACTGATCAGGGCAGCTGACGCAGTCCTGCCAAAATGACAGTCTAGCTCTAAAGAGCAGTGTTTCAAAAGTGTCTCGAGCAGGTTTGTGAGAGTATTTGAGCAAAATGTCCTTACAGAAAAACATTCAATTTTCACAGATTTTAAATTAATATCAAAGCACAAGTTATAATTCTATTTGCCATGTGGCTTTGAAGCAAAAACACACGTTAACTTTGCATGTGGAAAATCACCTTTTCACCTGTGAACATGTCAAAGTGAACGACAAGCAGTTTGCATGTTTCCCATGCGAGTCGGGAGCATTTTCAACATGTTGGTGTGATCACGTGATCAACAAGGTCAGTTTGTTCGAGTTGTCTGTGAGGACATCATAGGAGGAAGACTGCCTCAAAGTTAAAGATACCTCAATTATTCTTTGACAGAATTACTAGAATTGTTTTATTTTTATTTACAAAGTATTTTAATGACTTTATTTAAGCAGACAAACCCCACTGAGATCATAGATCACTTTTGCAAAGGAGGCCTGGGTCTGAAGGCAGCCTAACAGTCCAAAACGGGATTTGAACCCAGGACTTTCTTGCTGTGAGGCAACAGTTCTAACCATCAAGCCATGAACTATGAATGAGAGCAGAATATGCTAAAGAGAAACAAGTATAACTGTAAATTGTGATGCTCAAATGATATAGCACATAACAACAAAGTCCATGCTCAATAATCCAGGTATACAATCCAACATTTTTCAGTCAGGTCATCTGGACAGTTTCTTTTTTTGTGCTGAAACGTTTCACCTTCGATCCAAAAGGCTTCATCAGTCAAGGAAACACAACACAAAACTGATCTGTTTGACTGTCAACAAGGAAGAGGGCCGGCAGTGGAGGAGGGGGCATGCCAAAGAGACCATCTTAGCGCCAACATAACTGGTTTGTTCCACTTTGGAGTACGCGGTTGGGGGAAGAATCAGTTTTGTTGTATGTTTCCTTGACTGATGAAGCCTTCTGGATGGAAAGTGAAACGTTTCAGCACAAAAAAAAGAAACTGTCCAGATGACCTGACTGAAAAATGTTGGATATAGCACATACTTTATCTTATCAAAACTACCAACTACCATCCATTATCTTTTACCCGCTTTTTCCTTTTTGTGTCAGGGGGTTACTGGTTTTCATATCCAGCAGTTACTGTGTGAGAGGCGGGGGACACCCTGAACAGTCCATCACAGGGACACATAGAGACAAACGAGACAAACAACCATTCACACTCTCACTCACACCTAGGGACAATTTAGAGTTACCAATCCCTCTAACATGCATGTTTTTGATCTGTGGGAGAAAATCGGAGTACCTGGAGAAAACCCATTTAGCATGGAGACAACATACAAACTCCACCCAGAAAGGCTTCAAACTTGGATTTGAACCAGCAACCTTCTGTCTGAGGGGCAACAGCTCTTAAAATAACTAGATTATGTGTTCATCCTCTTCCAGATGTTTGAGTTCATTCAATGAACACAATTTTCTGCATCTGAATATGTTATGTATTTTTTTTATTTGTATTTTTTTTAGAAATGATTTAACTACCTAAAGTTAACTGAGACAGAGGGACGGGTAGACTAATTGAATTTTTAAAAGTGAACATCATAAGAAAAATCTATTTTCTCTCACTGATTTTAGATACTTGATTATGTTTGCCTTATTAAAAGCAATCATTTTGTTCCAGAATGGTGTGGTGGAGTGCCGCAGGATCTTCTGTCCACCAGCAAACTGCTCAGAAGACACGCTGCCTGTCCATGTTGATGGGACCTGCTGCAAAACATGCAGACGTGAGTATCAGCCGCCCAGATGAAGCATGCCAGATGCAAAATAAATTGTATTTTTTTCTTCAATACCCCTGACTTTTTTTGTTTTTCAACTACTGTGCAAAAAATACCTTTCACACTGCACAGTCTCAGGTCAAAGTTTGAATCACCTCCATGCTACTCAAACACAACGACTGAACAGTTTCTGTCCCTCCAGAATCTGCAAGGCTGAATTTAAAGTATATCAACACTTGAGTTGGTTTTGAATTTTAAAATAAATAGATTAAATAATCTGTATCTGCTCTTATCAATTAACATTCAGTTTCTCCACCAGCTTACCACCCACTAACAGTGCACTGGTATTCTTTTGAATTTCTCTGTGCATCATTAACTTAGATGAGCTGGACAGCTGAATTTAATGTCTAGTGTATTTCTACTGAACATCATGAAATACTGAACTGATAAAAAGTTTGTAACCAGTCCAATGGCTCTAACACAGCTGTTAAGGTGTACCACGTCAATGTAATGAATGTTTATACAAGGACTTTAATAGGTTTAGTTTAATAGCTTCAGCTGTTTGTTAGCTTTAGCAGGACATCAGACTGAAACTCCAGCTTGTTAATTAATGGGTTTAACACAAGAACTGCTCAAGGGCTTCCTTGGATTTGTGACTAGTAAAACTCTCTTTCTAAAACTGCATCATGCAGGATTCTGAACAGAAGTCAAACATCAGGGTTAGTTACTTATAGTATCTTATAACTTATAGTAATAGTTACTTATACTTATAATTATAATGTACATTCTCTTTCTCATTCTTCTTTTTATCAGTGATTCCTCAGAAAGGGCAGTTTAAGATGTGACATTAAGATATCTGAAACTTGTTTAGATACATGAGCATTAAAAGACATAACATCTCTTGATAAAAGGATGAAACTCAAGCAGGGGCGATTCTAGAATCTGACCTTTTGGGGGGCTTAGCCCCCAGTGCTGACAGTGGCTCTTGGCTTGAACAACGCAGTGGCCATTGGTGTCAAAAGCATTTGTATGGTGTGTGTGCAAGGGCGTCAGAAGCATCCGTAATGTGGGGGGGGACACAATGATGTGTGTAGGTGTGTGTGTGTGTGCGCACGCACTGTGTGCACGTGCATGTGTGCACGCATAAAAAAGGTGTTCACTAGTGAACAAAAAAGCAACATTTCATCTAGATTTCCTTTAAACACATTTAAAACATGTTTCTCACCAAGTTTGTGTAAATTCATCTGTGGGTTTAAAGACATTTTAACTTTAATACACTTCAATACAGAGCGTCAGATCTGCACTATTTGTCTTTATAGAGAAATAAAAAAAACATCACCACTGGACTTTTTTACTTGTGTTCAACACTACTCAGCTAAATGATGTTTCTCAAGAATCTTGAGGACAGTAAGGTGTGGGGTTTTAAAGACATTTCAACTTTAATGCACCTGAACACACAGCGTCTCTTACACCTGCAGCGTCTCTTACACCTGCAGCGTCTCTTACACCTGCAGCGTCTCTTACACCTGCAGCGTCTCTTACACCTGCAGCGTCTTACAGCGTCACAGTTACTGCTGAGCTAAGATGCTACGTCCCGCTCCACTTCTCTCTTGCTAACATGAATATATATTTATGATCAACACCTCCTGTCAACAACTGCCCGCACTAAGCTGCTAAACTGGCGAGCGAGTAACACAGAGGTGTCTCCATCTCCTCCACCTGTGTGCGTTTTCTGCCGAGGCAGGAGGAGACTCACAGAAACACTGCAGGTGTTTCACCATATTCTGTGACCACCGTATATTGTGACTTTTGCAACAGGCTGCTGTGTTTAGAGCTGGAGGTAACCAGAAAAACCTGGAGTGGAGTTTTAGTGGTCTGAGTATTCTCCTATTAATCAAGTGGAATGGATTTGTTCACTAAGAAAAAGAAACTGTGCCGCCTTAACTAATGTTTCATAGTAAAAGTGGAGGGGTCCAAATGAAAGTTTTTTTAATGTGGGGGGGACTTGTCCCCTTCACATATAATGGTTGCGATGCCTGTGTGTGTGTATGTGTGTATGTGTGTGGTGGGGATAGAGGGACACACTAGTGGAGAGGTTTGGGGGTCCTCCCCCAGACATTGTTGAATAAAGTAGATGTCATTTCCTGCATTCTGGTTTATTTTGATAGGTTGTTAAACATCTATGCTAACCTACGTAAGTAAAACTTGATTCAAAAACTATTTTAGAGAGCACGGCACAAAAACAAAAAAAAAGGTAGCCTGACCAACAGCTCTCCTTTTGTGAATAGAGCATGGTCCGCTTCTCTCACTCCCCCCCCCCCCCCCCCCCATCCCCTGTTGACAGCTGTTTTGCGGCGCACAATACAGACATGCTAGCTAAGATGCTACATACGTAGTGCTCTGCTTCTCTCAATCATCTCCCCCCCCCCCCCCCCCCCACACACACACCTCCCTCCAGCAGCTCCTGCAGAAAAGGGGTGTTTCACTTCGGGACAGGTTGAGGTCGCTGAATGGTCAGTTGCTGGCGAGCCTAATGGATTGATTGACAGGTGGCACTCAGGATCTGACTTGTGCAAAAAAAAAATATATATAGATTTTACTGGTCGGTTTTTCATGGTTTATTCCATATTTATTTCAAATTTATTCAAGATTTAGGTGAATCTAAGGTTTGAGAACTGAGTTTCCTTACAAAATCCTAATTATGGTTTTCTAATTTTTCAGGAGCGCTGTTACAATTTAGGAGTGCTTGAGCACCCCCAGAAAGAGGCTAAAATCTCCACTGAGTTCAAGCCATTTTAGTCAGATCTTGTAAATAATGTTATGTTGTAAAATTTTACAGGATCTCTTCATTCTCAATCTTTTTTTAAGAATGACTTTCAACTACTACTACACCAAAAGTAACCAACATATGTACAATGGACCGAGGTAAAGCCATTAATAGTTTCAATATATAGCTGATTAGTTGTGGTGGCCATCTTAAATTGGGTGTACTTCAGATGGGGTTTGAAAGAGCATCACTAAAATCGATTCAGTGATTTACAAGATTCCTTTACTTACAACACTGACAGGTTTGACTGTAACAGTTAGCAAAAACACCTTTAAGCAAAGACGTTGCACATCATGCTGTGCTCAGAGTAAGAGTTGGGGATGAAGCTCAGTTACTACCACTCCAAAGTTTAGCTCATTATCTGTAAAAGTGATTTAATTATAGCCAGCTTTGTGTTATCTAAAGTCAGTTAGCTATAGTGGCATCTTGAACTAGACTGACTCTACAAGGCACTTGTAGATGTCCATCCACTAACCACTTTGTTAGAGTTTTATTTCAATCGTTCCACTGGTTTATGAGGTATATTAGCGAAGACATACAGAGATACGAGCAAAATCATGTCACTTTCATTGAGTGGCAGTACAAAGACAGGTCTGTTCCTCTGTCTTAAATGAATTACGATCTTAATATCTTTATGATGTTTCAGGCTTTTGGAACCGTGTCTTTAATCGGACTTACTGTAGATGCAGACAGGGTTGTTCTTTGTGGGTGATGCCCTGCAAGGACAATGAATCAAGCCTAAACCATGTGCAGGATCAAAGGTCACAGCTGCTTCATGCACACTGAAATGGAAGCCCTATTTCAACTTGTGGGCACACATGAACTCCACATATTCTCACAGACACAAACTGAGCCTGTCTTTCTATACATTGCTGCAACGCTCAAAATCCCCAAAGTGTAAAGCGTTTGAATAATTTTAGGCCTGCTCTGTCTCCCTGCACTCATTCCTCCTTTCATTCCCCTGTGAACATGGAAGCTCAGGCACAGATGAACGAGGGAGTAGCGCTCCTGAGCTGTGACTGAGCGAGCTGTGGTCCTGCACCCTGGAGAGGAGGAAAGCAGTGCTTCATGCCGTGTGTTTCACTTGCTATTTCTGATTTATCACCAGAGGGAAATGCATAAAGGCCGTTGTCTGTTGTATTCTTAATATGCCGTTACATTTCCCCTCCGCTTATGCACATTAGCCAAGAACAGCTTTGTCTGGAGAGAAATTAATTATGCAAAACTTCACAATGGGAACTTTTTTTTTCTCCTCAGGCAATTTCCAAAGCATTTCTCTCTGCTGTTGACAGTACCTGAGGTTATGTTAACTTGCCAAAGTTACTGTAAAAACAAAATAATATAAAAACTTGTATATTGTATTTTCTTATCCACAGCTAAATGCACCTACATGGGACAGACATTTTCTGAAGGCCAACGCTTTCTATCCAGGAGCTGCAGGGAATGCAAGGTATCACTTTTTCTCACATTGAGCAATCCTTTCAGTGTCATTCATCATCCATTAAACAATCATATCACCAGGAATATTTTTTTCCAGTGAAAATGTGCAATGATTGTACTGCATGTGGTGGACTGCTTGGTGTGGAATTCAATTAGCCAGCAGGCCTTATTAGTTTCCTCAGCCTGCTGCAATCTGTTCAATCTGCCTTTTTTCCTCCTGCTCTAATGGAGAGATAGCCAGGTAATTAGAATAACTGATGAATACAGCAAAACAAAGGTCTGATCTGAATTGGAACTTCATCATTGCATGGATTATAATGGTGGCCATTATTCCAGCATTGCACAGAGTGGAGGTGAGCTTTTCTCACCGTGAAGCTGTTTATCTTCAAAGATAATATTTTAAGTAGGAAATTGCCTTTCTGTAAATGCAATTTCTGGCAATAAAGCACATTAAGGATTCCAGGACCATTTAATAATCATCAGAATGCCTCGAGTTCCATTATACTGTTAAATTACTTTGTTTCAGACAATTGCAACCATTTTTACTGTTGGATGTAAAGGTTTCCCAATGACCATTTTTATACATTTTACACAGTATTATTATTAGATTGTTTTTTTTTTTTCAATGGTATGGTTTTTCTTCTTGTAGGTGCAGCTGTTTAAGAACAAAACAGTCCATAAAATCAAAGACCTGCATCTGAGAGTGTGATCCTGATTTTATGGGACATGTCAGATTAGGAAGTATCTTGTGACTGTGTCTATACTCACAGTAGGAGATGGGCTTGGAGCTGGAAAAGTAATAATGAAGGCATTCTCTGATGTGCAAAATAAGGGGAAAGCTAAAAGCTAAAAGAGAAAGCATATCATGGAGGTCTGTTCAGTATCTGTGGATGATGTGAATGAAATTCCCTTAATCGTTCAGATTAGTTTCACTGGTCGGAATCAATGTTGTGATTCGTCAAGGCCACCGGCCACACACTACTGCACAATAATTGATTTATTTCAGAGGTATTTTTTTTAGCTTGAGTAGCTAAATTCCAAGCTACTCTGGTTTTAGTTTACTCTGGCTGGGCTGCTGAAATAAATATCTTGTTAATTTCTACTCAGTATTACTAATTAATCCTCAGATTTCTTTCTGAGGTGTTTAAAGATATGACAATATGTAGGATAGCAATAATCCAGGCTTGTGCATATAGACCTGATACTGGATACATCCGTACAAGGTGCTTCCTTGGTATGTTGTTGGTACTTTGCATGCAAGTAGCTGGTAAGAACCATGTACAGCCAAGTACTCTGTAAGTACTGGATACGTTGTATGCATTTCTATCAATATATATGATTGTTAACACTTGCTAAATCGATGAAATGGGGATGTTTGAAAAGGTTTTAAGTGGTTTAATTTCACAAATGTGTGTGATAGACTTACTGCACTTTTAGTCTAGACTGCTTTATTTAAATCAGAATAAAATTGTTAAAATAAGACAGGCAATTTACCCATAATTTAACCATTTACACATCCATTTTGATTAGAAAGCAGGTATTAATAGCTGACATTTAAAATAATTTTATATGTCATCAGAGCCTTGTTTTAATTTAATTTTGATCAATATTTCAACTGGTTGCAGCATAATTACAACATCTGAGTGTCAGATTACACTTTAGATTAGTTGTGCTGAACAACCTTTCACACACACACA